ATACACGTGTGTAGACTATTCTAGAAATGACATGCTGGCCAAGTACGGCTATGAAAGAGAAGATGTGTGTGTGTGTGTGTGCACTTTAATCCTGCCCGTGTTAGGGCTGCTTCTCTATAAATGGGCCACCGGTCACTCTGACTGCGAATGCCACGGCGCGTCGGTGCAAAGGAAACGGAAGTTTATACGAGCAAAGAAAAGGATTATACTGCATATGAATAATAAGATGTGTGTGTGTTCGTGTGTGCGTCTTTGGTTGTATGTACCGATGACTACGGGGGTGATGCTCGTATGGCAAGGTGTGCTTGTGTGCGTGTATGTGTGTGTATGTGTGCGTGTGTGCGTGTGCGTGTGTGCGTGTGTGTGTGTTCATGTCTCTCTATGTGTATGTGTATGTCTGTGTTTGTGTACGTGTATGTCTGTGCGTGTGCACGTGTATGCCCGTGTGTATATATATACATGTCTCTCTCTGTGTGTACGAGAGTATATGCAATATAACGTTTCGATCAGTGTGTGAGTGAGTGTGGGTGTGAGAGGGAGCGTGTGAGAGTGTATGAGTGGGCGTGTGTACCTGCGTGTGAGTGTGTACCTTTGCTAAGCATATGTTCCTACTGTGACCATGGTCAGCCCCCTGTCTGCCGTGATAGCACACGACACGGTGCGTAGGTATACATGTGAGTAAAATGTGCGAGTGAGTGAGTGTGGCCACGTGTGTAGGTGAGTGAGTGTGGCCACGTGTGTGGGTGAGTGAGTGTGGACACGTGTGTGAGTAAGTGTACATGTTTGTACGAGTGTGTGAGAGTGTTAGTACGTTTGGTAGTGAGAGTGTTAGTGCGGGGGAGAGAGTGTTATGCGTGACTTTATGCCATTCGCATGGGGGGTCGAGCTCAGGATCAGCCTCCTGACAGCGAGGTGTCTACACAAGCTTGGGCCTCTCTCGTCTCTTTTATGTTCGGTACACTGACCAAGTACAGTAGTAAACTGCGTATTAGTATATATGAAATCATGCCCTTCTACGCGTGGGTGGACGCGTGCGCTGTATCCATGCACCTTAGTATAGGTGTCCGCAGACCTACTAAAAGATGTACCATGCGTGTGCACGTGCGACGTTGATAACTGCCCATTTCCTGCTAGGCTCTCGGATATAGTGTATGGGTGTGTGTCGTAGTTCACTCCCACGCCATGTATTATACTCTTGTGAGCTTCTCTCAGATATAGTGTATGGTTGTGTATCGTAGTGCACTCCCACGCCATGTATTGTGCACCTGTGAGCTTGGCACAGCCCTCCTCTTGTAGTTTACCCATGAATGGGTTGTATGCACCAGCTGCATATGACAACATACTTTCATACCATTCTGGTGACCAAACTCGCACAGTATTGGGCCCTGTGCACCCAGATGTGCACCTCATGTGTGATTTTGGACCGTCATGCCCATTACCTTTAGATGCCCCGGCCCTGTTCAGATATGCAATCCGCACTATGTGTCACTATTATCATTTCCTTGGCGATTATTCTTTTCCGCGTGGTACATTTTATGTGTTAGCCGAATATTTATTCGACAGTGTTTTCTATTGAAGGTCGTTCATGGCCACTCTCCGCTTGTGACATGAATGTTTTACCAATAAGTCTCTCGACTTGATCGGGTAGGCCCTCATCGGCCTCACCCACCAATACCCGTGCATGGAGTTGTAACGTAGCTCTGGTCACTGCGACCGTCATACAACCTACAGATACAATGACTACCGCCACCTCAACAACACGGTTGTGGATCACATCTCAACGAACCGCCGGCGCAAAACGAGCCACTACGTGTTGTGGCTGGACGCAGACGTCGAGTACATACCGAACACAATTATCTCGGATCTGATTGGCTCAGGGAAGCACGTGATTACTCCCAGATGTTTGCGAGAGGGCCTGGATTACGATCTGAATACTTGGTAGGTAGTATGGGGTGACAAGCTCACGTGGCTCAGGAGTTGTGCCAGAGATCTCGACCCAAAAGAAGTACTGGTGGTCCCTGTGCCGATGTACTGGTTGTGAACTCGACACAAGTATCGATATAAGGACGTATACGCTATCACTCCCAACGTACAGTCTCGTAGGGTCAAGCAATCACTTCATGCCAGCCGTTAGGTGCTATCAAACAGTGCATGAAGGTAAAGGTAGCGTGGCCGATATATTGGCGAATACGGCTTGTAATCTACACTTGTAATTCACTAACATCCCTTTGTATCTTGTATCTATCACTTGCACTCGCGCCATGCTGTGCCAGGGCCGGAGAGCGTATCGAGGCGACCAGACCAAGCCAGTACAGACACTTGCTGTTCGTTCCCTACCCCGGTACACTGAACAAGAACATGAGAGACTTCGCAGAGAGTGGCGAGGAGTTTGTGGAGGTGGATTCGGTCGGAGGAACGGCGCTATTGGTCCGTTCTGATGTAAGTCACTCACTACAGTTGGTCGGACTATTGTACACACATGTGCGCAGCGCAACCCTTTTCATCTCACAAATGCATTAACTGCGGGGGTGTTATATATATATAAATACACACACACACACACACACACACACACACACACACACACATACACACACACACACACACACACACACACACACACACACACACACAC